TAGTGACCTAAATGAGAACATGCAATGAAAGTATTCTAAAACAAAAGGAAAAAGGGGAAGAAATTAATGAAAAAAATATTACCATACACAACATCCAACACAAAGTTCTATCCTATGTTGTTATAGCTTTGGGTGCTGTTCAGCACCATGATGTTCTCATAATTGAGAGAAAATAGAAAGAGTCTCCATGATGGAACAAGCTGACATAATATAAGGACACACATCAAGGTGATGGGCAGTTCTGGCCTGTCAAAAATGCTACTGCAGCTTCAGCAGACATACCTCAACTAGCTTTTCAGCTGCCTGCTAACAGCATGGGGTCATTCCGAGGCTGTGAAACCTGTCTGAGAGTGAATAAATACTCAGATAACTAGTCTTGGCACATTGCACTGGATAATTACATCTGACAATCTTTTTCATGCCTTCATCCTGCTACACTTTTCAAGCTGTGGTCCCCAACCCATGCATGGAGACACTTAGGATATTGCATTATTACTCGCAGTCACAAGCCATAACCACTACTACAGCACACACCAAAAAAGCAAAACACCACAGCTTATATTATTGCCTAAGAGGCAGCAAAGAGATGTCTGTTATCAAAACTTCAGTGGTTAAGATAAAAAGTATTTAGATGGCATTTTAAGCTATGGCTACGTGCATTTCAAATTTTTACAAACTCCTAAAAGGACGCTTGGCAGTGGAGCATTAGGTGGAGTGCAAACAAAGAAGAGCTGAGAAGAACTGAGATTTTCTATTATGAACACAATTACTGACTTCTAAAAGACCACAATCTGATTTTGACAGTCATTTAAGAAGTTTCAGGAGCAAAGGATGTTGGGAACAATCTGTAACAGAGAACAAAAAGCTGTCCCTTAGTCCCAGAGAAACAGAACCTGAATTATTAACTGGCACTTTCAGTACCCAATGTACTGAAATAACTGAAAAAAAACCAATTTTCTAAAATGGTGAAAATATTCTATAGATCTCAGCTCAAAACTATCTCTCAATAAGGAGCCCTAAAGCTATGGGAGGAAAAAAGAGGTAAAGTTTAAAAATTTGAAGAGATTGAAGGGAAGAAAAAAGCTACTTTTTTCAGAAGAGAAAAAAGGCTTACAGACTACCTGACTAATTGTATTTCAGTCGAAAACTAGGTTCACAACATATGAAGTGCTTGAGGCAAAAGAAATCAGTGGCATATCTGAATTGATTTTACCAGCATTGAAGGGGACCAAAAATCATTCCTGAAGTCCCCTTTCTTATGTACAAATTTTAACACAATTAGCACTGAATTTAAAGGTCTCCTTGAAACTTGTACTTCCGTTTCCCTTTGATCCCTCTCGCTTGGTGCAATATTTTAAGGGATAATTAATGGAATACTTGCAAGGAATGGACAAAAAAAATCCCCTCTACTTACTATAATTTTTCTTGAATCTTCATCCTTCAAAACTATTTGTCTGTAGAAATGACAATTTTTTTAACCAATTAACATTAAACACAATTAATATCATTATTTTCTGGCTTGTGAATGCTTAAGATTCATGGTTTTGTGGAAATAGGAAATTCAGTAAAATATCAGTACAAGCCTTTAGATTTGTGTTATGTTACCATGCCCTATTTAGCCACAGCACAGGTCCTCTCTCTTTATCCTAGATGCAGCCACATCCTACAGTCTGTGAGGAGGATACCAAAGAAATCCTTGATGCCTTGAAATTTTTTTTTTAATATAAAACAATCAAGCAAACAACAGCAAAAACCCCAAAGAAAGAAACAAACCAAAAAAAAAAAACCCCAAAAAAACACCTTTCTGCATTTTTATTCCTAAACGGTTTTAATAAAGAACATTTAATCTCAGTTTGGGTTTAACAGCTTCATTTGAAGATCTGTTTCTCTCAGGAGTAAATATTGGCCTGCAGGTAGCCTCATCGGTTGCCTCTTAAATTTCTGTCCCTGGACGACTCTGAATATTCACCCATGGCCCCACCTTCCTTACAGTAAGTCACATGCCAAAGTGAGTCAGCAAAATATGCTTAACTGTATTCCAGAGAATCGATGCTTCTATTACATAAATGAATAAAAGTGGCCAGAATGTGTATTTCCTTACGAGCTTTTCTGGTTTTATTCTCTCTGTTTGGGAAAATGCAGAGATGTGTATTACATTCCAGCTTCGTGGCACACAAACACTTAGACTCTATAAAAACCCAATTTAAAAATCTTAAAATCATCCTAAAAATTTGCCACTGTCTGCTATATCACTATATTTTTCTCTTCAGTTTAAGATGTTTTCTCTTAGCTGTAAGGATGGAAAATGGATATCATTAAACTGTTTTTGTTAAGTCCGAGACAGAGTTCAATAGTTTTTTTTCCTCCCCCCTTAGTTCACCATCATCTTTCCTCCACCAGTGCATTATTCCTGTGCGTCATCCTCTTTTAATTCCTGTGACAAATATAATTGTAACGATTTTATTTAGGATCAACACTCCACTCACAATGCGAAAAGGCAAAAAGTTAAAGCAGCTGTGTCACTTGGCTCTGCCTAGAAGTCGGTCAGGGCAAAGGCGAGGCAGCTGTGGGGAACAGGCAGCAAAATCTGTTGCCTGCAGGAAACAGATCTGGGGACTGACAGGAGCCAGGCAGCACCACCAGCAGCTACTGCTTTATTAATTTTACTGTGTTTCAGGGAGGTGAAGGACTGAAACATCAATAAAGACAGAAAAACACACCCTTTCATATTTTAGATCTGTGGCGTTAGGCTTAATTTAAACATATATTTAAACATTTATTTCAAACATAAGCACCAATTGTACATAATATTTTATTTAATAGTATTAATTTAAATATTATGCTAGACTAAGTATTACACTGTTATAGCCTCTAAATAAAATGATTTCCATACATTACAACCTGGAATGACTTTCAACATTTGACTAGAGAAACAAAAATGCTAGTGTAATTACAACCTTATTGCATTTTAAAGCACAAATGATTTAAACAACTAATTTTGTGTTTTCTGTTTTCTGTGACTGGAATAACCCATTGTTATAGCAGGTTGATTTTGCCAGCGCCTTTACTACTTTGACTGTTCACAAGTTGTCTTACAGTTTCAGACGGTGTCAGACCTAGAGACTACATCTTATGCCAGCTGGAGTGGGAACATTGGTTTGATGTATAGAAATGCAGCTTTTAAAAGTCAGGGTCTGCTAGCAGTTTCTCTACAAACTACAATGGCAGCTGTGCTAGAGGTCATGAATATTACATAAGGGCTGTCCATGCATTCAAGCCAGCATCAGTAAGCCAAATTCCCATAGCAACACTCACATAGATTTACTCATCGCTAAGAGATGCACCAGTTCAGCAGTAACGCTGCACTGCTACCCCGATTAATCTGCAAGATACTATTACTTCAACTCTTCTTTTAAAGATCGTGCATTTACTGATAAAATTCAACACTTCACCTGAATTTCAGGGCAGCTTTTATCACCTCTCTCAGAGCAAAGAAATCTCCAACCAGCAAAAATTAGCTCTGATAAAACTGAAACTCCTGATAGAATCAGCAACATTTCTGAGATACAAGGTTGAAGGGAAAAAGCAGACTGCTTCTGTTGAGTTTCTGCTATACTGATCCCAGGACCGCAAGTGATGTTCTTCAAAGAGATGTTCAGCATCTCCTACAGTTGGCACATTCCAGCAGCTCATTAAAAAGCTGCTTTAGGAGCTCTTATTAAATATCAGTTAACAACTACATTTTCAAAAAAACATTTTTGGCTTCCCTATTTGGGTTTTCTGGCCCAATGAAGATGTCTGCTTGTATATTATAGTCCTGTATTATTTACAGAGCTGGTCCTTGCCATACAATCAGCTGCATAGCTCAGTGATCTGGACTCAACGGATTTCTGAAGAACTCTTGTAAAATAGGTGGCCTAAATGAGCAGAGGGAAAGCCAGCAGTGGAAAATTAAATGGAATGGGTGGGAGATGGAAGGGAGATAGAGAAATAAAAAAACAAGGCAAAATGGAGGAGGGGAGTTAGAGGGAAAGAGAGAATGCAGATCAGGTAGATCTGAGGAGGGATCTCAACAGTGTATTTAAATGTAAGATATTAGAAAGAAAAACAGATTTTGGAAAACAGTAATATGCTGAAATCTGGCAGGTAGCTTACAAAAAAACTAAAACTGGAATGAAGTGATAAATGAATGATAACAATTAAGATGAGCACAATTTTCACAAGTACAGTAGTATTTAAAGATACAGCATGGATGAAAGAAAAAAAAGCCTGTTGACTTCCACTGCTAAAACCTTCACATTCCTAAATGCATCTCATGGAAAATACATAAACACACATCAAAAACCTAAAGTTTGTTTAGTGTTTTCTTACTAAATTGTCACTATTTGCCATGAGTATGGAGGTAGAAGACCTATATATTACTCATGGGGTCATTTAACACACAAAGTATAAAGAAAGTCAATGAAGTCTTCAGGAAAAAAACACCCTTGTAACAGACTCTCCCAATTTACATATGATTTGTAGGGACTGATCCTTCATTGAAGGGAGATGAATACAATGTTTGAGGGCTGATTTTTGGAACTGCAAGCTTTGAATGCCACAGCAACCCATAGGCAAACTTTCACAAACATCTTCAGTAAAAACTCATGGTTTTGACCCCATACACTGCAATAAATGCATATATTTAATAAAAGAATAAATGCACAGGTTTAAATAAGAATGTTCTGAAATACGCAAGTCAATCAAATCCCTTTTATGGAAAAGTTATTTCAAGTGATTTGTCATAGAACATATATTTTCACCTGCTGTCTGGAGTATGTTTATAAGAGGTCTAATCTATATGTTAGCATATTAAAAACATTTTATGAGTAATAGATGAGATGACAGTCAAAGAATCATAGCATGGTCTGAGTTGGAAGGGACCTTATAGATCCTCTAATTTCAACCCCCACTCTAAAGCCGAGCATTTTATGAGTTTGTGACTGGAAGTAACACCTTACCTTTGCTTTCTCAAGCTGTGCCTGGGCCTGTCGCTCTGCCTCTCTCCGCACTGCTTCCCTATCTTCTTCCAGAGATACATCTGAATCAGATGGACGGCTGGTGTAGGAGTCCGCCGAACCCTGCACAAGAAAAAGAAAAAATATGTCACAAGTTCCTTTGATGTTTAAAAAACAACAACAACAACAAAAAAGTAGAAGTGGCTATACACTTTGCCTTTTTTCTTACTTCTGTATCCCTGAAAATAGAGCAACTGTTCAAAGCAAAAAATCACTTTGAAGAAATTATGCCTAGGTTAATATTTTCTTCTGGAAACTTTCCAGAAGTGCAGGTGTCTTCCCCAGTGTTTTGTTTCCTGCACTATCCTTGCACTCTTATTTGTGTGCTTTTCAGCAAGCAGAGCCAGTTGCTCTGTAGAGCTACAGCACTGGTGCAGTGCAGGGCTGAAGGACACAGCAGCTTCAAGGATGGCTCCACAGAAACGAAAACTCTAAACAGAGACAGAAATAGCAAGCTAACAGACTTTTTATAATCAAAATGCAAATTCAGTATCAACAATTACCATTACACAATATCACTGCTAAGAGATTTAACCTTTTCTATGCATTTTTATTTTAGGGCAGCCTCTTTACCTGACACACTTTCCCCATCAGAACTGCAAATGGCTCATATCCATCTCTGCCCCTCAGCAAAACATGCAAATGACCACAAATCAACTTCCAACTAATAAAATCCGTCTGGACTCAACACATGTCCCCGTATCGCCACAATGGAAGCAGCCACAATGCCAGAACAGCTCTATAAATAATGACAGCTCTGCTTTCCGTCTGCATCTCCCTGCATACAAAATAGAGTTCTGCTAATTCAATCAGAATGAAAACAACTGTCCTCTCCTCACCGCCTTTTTTCTCTCTGTCTCTGCAATACATACAGTATAAGCTGATAAGGAAAATGCAGGGCTTACACAGATATCAGAATTCTTCAGACGTCCTCCTTTGGCTCTTTTCAGAAGCCTGATCCAGGTGGCCTTCATTAGCCAGACAGCTCAGTTACTGTCCGCAGCTGCAGCGCCCGGCACTGATCTCATAAAACATGTGCACACTGAGCACTGCAGAATCACAGCTCCTTTCCTATCCATGCTCTGCTGTGAGAGCCTTCCTTCTCTTCCCTCTGCCTTTCAAGCTTCCAGCCTCACTGTTTCCAAGTATTCTACTGCAATTAAATTCTCAAAATTTTTCATGCCAGAAAAAAAAAAAAATATTCATTCCCAAAAAATCCACACCACCTCCAAAAATCTCAACTCGAATGATAAAAACATAAAATAAAACCGGCTTCAGGTAAATGTTGTGAGAGATGCTTCAGCTGATCAGAAACTCAGATCGATGACAGAAAAATACCTAGGGCTTTTTCCTTTCTGTTTTGGGGGGCGGATTTGGCTGTTAAAAATAGTGCTTGCAAGAGAACCTTTTAAAATCCTGTTCAAAATGTATTCAGTGACATTTGCAAGTGCAAAGTTCATTTCATCTCTTCCTAGATTGGCTGGGGGTGGGGTAACAGGCTGTTCATACCACTGGGCATGCTCCATATGTGCAGCCTTTTACGCAGATGCTCACATCACACCGGGCTGTTAGCCTATGCCAAATTGCCATTTTACATCTCCAGGGTAAACAGCTGGAAAACGCAAGGTCCCTGTGAAACTGGAAGAGCTGGTACAGCGTCTCGTTCCCTTCATGTATGTCTGCTGCCAGCCACGTTTCCCTTGGATGCTCGGTTCTGTCACACAACGCTGCCCTCCGCTGAGCAAAGCTCTGAGCTCCACTCACAGCTCCCTTACAAAAGCCAAAATTATGCCTGTTGAGTGGGAATTTAACCCCCTGGTTACTGCTTATATTTTTTCTGACATTAGCAGAAGAAAGAAGCAAAGAATAACTGCAACACACAACACGTAAATATTAGATCCTAATATGGCAAAAGCCAAACAAAACATTAAATTTCCCTATTCTGCTTTTCAGAGTTACCCTCTACCCTTTAATAAACTGACATGGGAGTAACACTGTAAGGCATTTATGATGTACTGATGGACATACAACATTCCAGTAGAAAAAGATCACTAGCTGACTGCAGTGCCTGCCTTCAATATAAGTTCACAGTCACAAGATAAATAGCAAATAGAGATTACAGCTGAGAACAGTAGTCATACATATGTCGTAGCATGTGTCAGGAAGGTTTGAATTCTGCCATGGTTTATGTCTGTATAACAATGAAATTGCCCATCACAAGTGATGCAGCAGCCTACATTTCACTATTATTAAAGCAAACAAGAGTTGTCAGTAAACCCGTGGTTTATAATAAAGCAAATTTTTAACTTTCCAAATGTTTTATTTTTTTTTCCTTTTCTGAAGCCTGTAATTGTTACAGCATAGAGTTTTATAATCTGTGTTTGAACTGACATAAAAAACCCCTATTCTCCAAAGGGTATTTTGCTCTTCAGAAGTTCAGATACATCTGCTGTTACAGTGACTGTTCAAATCTAAAACGCCTCCTGAGCTAGAGCAAAAGCAGCAGAAAACAAAAGAAAATACACTCAAACTTTCTTGAATTTTTAAAAATATCTTGTTCGTTAAGAAAATACAGAGGCCCTGTAACATCCCTGTAACGTCTCCAAATCCTGTCAAATTTTGCTATTCTTTAAAATTTCCCTTTGCCACAACTTCTGACACACCTGCCAATGAAAATAGTGGGAAAAGATGAACAGCAACAGAAGTTTAGTGTAGAGTTTAAATCCTGTCATGGTTGACACAACAGTGGTCTATGGACAAAACCATTTATGTTATCACAGCACTAATCAAAGCTGAGCTCCCCCATAGAGTCCCAGCCCTCAGGACACTGCTGTCAGGCAGCACTCCCTCTTTGGAAAGGGCACATCCAAGCCCTTCCCCACCAGTGCTGCAGTTCCTTGGTGCCACTCTGCTGCCTGAGGCATGGTGTCATAAACCAACCCTGAAGCAACACTACCTTTAAGTAAAAGGAAAACAAACAAAGAAGCCATTAAGCCTGACATGGCAATCAGATGGTGGCTAGTGTAGGTGTTCCCTTCCTACAGCACTTCCATGATGAGCACATCATATTTGACACTGACCAAGTGGCATAGCATCAGTTTTACTATCCTTCATTCTGCTGTCCACAAGGGATGCTGCCTAAATGGTTCTCACCCTATAAAAAAATTCGTGAAGCACAGTAACATAATTCTTATCTCCCCTAAGGGGGCAAAATGCCTTTTGGGTCAGGCCAGAATCGCTAAAATTGGAATTTCAGCTTCCAGGCCACAGAGATCATTTACAGTGCTGGTCATGTCTTATGTTGGCCGCAGTCCCAACACACATCCAAAAAATCATAATGACTCAATTTATTTTAATTATATTGACAAATCACATGAATCAAACTCAACATTACATTTATTTTCCCAGTGGGATGGACATGGTCATGCAAATTTTCTGTGGAAAGGAGAAGTTGGAAGCTTCTTTGCTTCTTAAATATGGAAAAAAATCAAGTCTTACAGCAGAGTAATCCAGGAAAATGGGTAGCATATAATTACATTTAATTCATTGTATAAACTTCTGAACATTTTTATTTACACTAAGAATGCATTCAATCACTTTAAGATCAAAAAAAAATCAAGCTTTGATAAAAACTGTGATGAAATTGTAATAGAAATACCCTACTATTTAAGAAAAATAATGACAAGTGGATGTGCATTGTCCATTCATGACAACCAAGGAAACTACATTTCCTCCCTGAGTTACTTAAGCTTATGGGGTTGCTCTGGAGAACAGTATGAATCTTTTCCCAAGAGTTTCAGAAACTCAGCCTTTTTGAAATTCTGCAGGTCTCCATCTTCTTCCACTGCAAAATGGAAGAGCTGCAGTAATATATCTATGTAATATATTCTGCTGCAGCCTCCAGTTCATCATCTTTCATGGGAAACTGTCTAAGAAAAGTGAGATAAGTCATGTTAATAATTACTCCATCTATTTATTATTCTTCTTCTTTTCTTCCTTACTTGGCAGGTTTACAAACTCATTTTGTTCAAAAAAGAATTTCCTGTTTTAATAACATGCTTGACAAATATTTACCAACCATCTTACCACTTATTATATCAGAGTACTTTCTATGAGCTATTCTCATAATGTGAACCCATGTTTTTCCCATTGCTAGTGGTCATATGGGATCATATTTGAACTCCTTTTCCTTCAAGACCATAAATGTCTTATGTTCTTCAGTATTGTAGAAGTTCTACAGTATTGTAGAAGTGCGTCATCTTCAAACGATTGGGTTCTTCAAGTAAGAGGGTTTTTTATCATTTCCCTTTACTTGCAGGTAGAAACTCTTTAGGTAAATTAGGTGGTGCCTCTAGACCTCTTAATTTTCTTGTTAGTTTTCTGTACCCACGCTTAACTTTCATCTGTACAGTTGGAGCTTAAGTACAGATTTTGACTGCAGTGTTACATTAGTAGCGTAAAATCTGTTGATGTGTTTATTCTGGTAGAGTAATAAATTCTCACTGGGTTAATACAACTACCATTACTCTTGCCAATTCAATCCTAGCCTTTATATTGTGTCTTTGTCATAAAAATAAAAGCAATCCTCTGAGTACCATGAGTCTTTAACAGACTCTAATCCACTTATTAATTGGATATCATTAGAACAGATAATTTTCCAAATTACTGAAAATTCTCAAATAATTCTCTTTTTAGAAAGATCAAACAAGTTCCTTCAAGTTAAGACTTTTTACATTATTATTTATTAAATGAAGGCATGAAGCAGTAAGCAAACATGCAGCAAGATTTTACCAGGAATAAAGAAATACATATGAGGGCACATATATATAAAACTCCTCATTTATGATACTGGGGTCTTCTCTGAGGTATATTTGTCATCTTTTCATTCATTTAATGCTGATGAAAATTTTAAATCCAAAAGGAGAAATATATTTGTGTCTTAATTTGATTTATACTTTGAATATGGAAAACTCAGGCCTCACTGCGCCAATAAGAGGAACAATTCATTTCAATATTCAGAATGCATACAGAGATATTGTTAACTGCTTATCTTCTTATCCTGTTGCAGTAGTAAGAATGACATCACATCCTGCTAGGACATGATTTGAGATGGTATATTATGTCCTTGTGATATGCAACTACTACTGGAGTGCTTCAAAATATGGTAAAAAAATATATTTCCATAAAATGTTTACTTCACTTAAAATCTTTTAAAATTGATTCAGAACAAAGGCAATATGTAAAATGTCGAAGTTTAGCATGAAGTGAAACTGCTAACACTGGCAAATTATAAAACGCCAATAAGGAATACAGATTGTCCTGTTTCATCATAAACTGATCAACCCAAAAAGTGTGAGCCACACAGTTAGATGTCAGAAGCACTCCCACAAACGCACCATGAGTAAGGACCTCAGTTTGGCGGAGTGGCAAAGGTGGTGAATGTGAAAATTTCTTGTCTATCAAGTTTTCTCTAGATGTCTAAACAGTGTCATTGTTTTGAAGAAAACACAAAACGCTGCTCCGAGAATGCTATGCAACGTTATATTATTTAAATATAGTTATTTATTAAATTATTAGTTATTTAAGGGTAGAAGTTAAAGTTAATTATTTGAGGGTAGAATTTTTATAGAAAGACCAAATTTAATTCAATTAATTGTTCACAATGTATATTTGAAGTGTATGACAAACTGAAGAAATACCATTTAGCAAAGGAAAAAAGGAAAGAGGCCATGTTTTCATTCAGGGGATATCAAGCAGGAATTGTTGACTCCTTGTTTAAGCACCATGGACACTTCACAACCTGGTAACTACCAAGTCTACACCTGATGTCCAGTCTCCACTCCCACCCCTCTCCCTCATTGGCATGGGCCCTTCGGTGCTTGGCCATTTGCCCACACATGTAAATAAACAATTACTATGCAAGGAGGGCTACCAGATCCTACAGTAGGCATTGGAATACTCTGCTAAGTTTGCATTAAAAAATAAACCCAATGTTGATTAGAATTTTTTTTGTTGTTTAGAGTGAACAGGGCCTTGCTGGCATCTACAGCCATTGGGGATGTTCAAATAGCAGGACTGAAATTTTAGAACAGCTGGGAGCTTTAGGGTGGCAATGTGATTAAAAAAGGAGATTATATAGGAAACCAGTCTTCTCTTTACCCTTAACATGACTTTGTCAAGCTTGATTGCAGCACCCAGCTTGACAGTAACTGTATTCTAAGGTGCAAATCCAACCTACAGCTGGATGAAAGTACAAGTTTTTTTAAATAGCCCTTGAGTTTGCAGAAGACTAGATTTTGGTATTCATGAACCAGGTAAACAGTTGTACCAGTCACTTTATCAGGAACAAACTAAAAAACAAAAACCCAAATAACCCCCGACACCAAGCAAACCCACATATTTGCACCCATATTTCATTATATGGGCCTAAATGTTTGCTCTTCTGTTGTTTCACTACAAAAAAGTAGCACGAGT